CTTTTGTGTGGGCGTCGACAGCCTCATTTGTGTTGGGCTGCCACGGTTGGTGGGGGTGTTGCATTGAGTGAACTGTTGCACGCACTGACCACCTACAGTAGGTCTAGGTGGGGCGAGGTAGCGAACGCGAACTTCAAAGTCCGCGCTGCGCAAAGCTTGCACCCACTACAACACCACAATGTGGGCAGTACGAGCAGAAGATCGGGGGTCTATTCTGACCAGTGTAACCCCGGATCAATCGCAGACCATCGCAAATCCTCCCAACGCAAGTAAGACTACCTTATAAGCTTCTCGTTTTTAGAGGGTGAACCAGCGGGAAAAGACTAAACTAAAGATCTACGCAATACAACATAAGGCGTTATTGAAGCGTGTTATTATCAGGATGGTTGTCCGCATGTCTGCCCTCCTAACGCTCTATCCACCTCCTTGGCCTCTTTGGAGGCCCTGGCTAGGTAGTGTTAGCTAATTGGAAGCCGGATCAGCGCGCTGCAAGATGTGGCTTTGTGTATTCAAAGCAAAAGATTTTTCGTTGAACACAGCAGGGCTTAGACATGACAAGGTTCTTGATCAAATCAGGGATATCCAGTATCAATTGAAATATTCAAGAAATAGGACTGTACTGCAGTGAACTTGCAGGAATGACTGGGAGAGGTTAGCAAGGTTGTTGCTTGCTGCAGTGCCATAGAAGACAGTAAGGATGACGATGATAAGACCCCACTGTTTTTAGTAGCACAGCAGAGGAATTTAGGGGTAATTAAAGTGCTGCTGAAAAGGAGCAGCGATATCAGCGGGCAGAGTAGACGCTATGTATGGCAACACACTCCAGGCGGCTTCAACTTGAGGCCAGAAAGAGAAAGCGACACTGCTGCTAAATAAGGGTCATTGAGGGACTCTTGAGTTAGCGATGTTGATGTAGAGTATGCAGTTGATCAATGTCCGATGCACAAAATCCTTTCTGTCATCCCTGAAATCACTATGCTAAAAGCGAGTTCGCTAATGTAGGTAGAAGTTCTCCTAAAGCTACTGTGTAATTTTGAGACCAAGCAAGAGGGGCTGCCCTCGTAAGACTCCGTTCGCATTCTATGCTGATGAACTCTTCAACTAATACCAACTCAGCAACTGCAGTTACATGCTCGTGAAAGGAGTTGCAGGGCTGTAAAGAATAGAGATACGGTCTAGCAAGCTGAGGACGGCCTAGAGCCTTCGGCAATCTCACGTGCAGGAACTGAGACGTCGGACAAGGAAGTGACTTGATAGCTCGAATTAGGGAGCTTTTGTGAGTTCCGACACGTACTGGGAAGCGAGCGTATGCTAGTATACCACGTTTGTAAAAGTTGATTTTTGACGCCGGGCCCGAGCCGGAAGCCGATTATGCAAGCGCGTGTACCATGAAACGATTAAGCGTATTGAGTAAATGCGTGGCAGCTAATTTCTCGAGCAAGCATGATGCCTGAGTGATTTTGATGAATTTAGAATCATCATTGGACACCTAAACAATATGAATAGTACCTTGTAAGAAAACAGTGTCTTGAAACTTTCCTTGATGGCCATGTGCACCAACAGAGGCTCCGAGCTAGCTTTCAACCCTACCGACTATAAACTTCAAATTCCCCCCTACGACGCATCTTTTTGATGCAAGAGATATTTGAATTCAGCGCGCGTTGTTTTTGGAAGCATGCCACGACTTAAACCAAAGGTGGGCCGGGCCCGCAGAAACACATTTCCACGTGGAAATAGTGCGTATAGAACTATTGAACCAATTGGCGGCACCGAGGCAGATGATCACATGTTATCACAATCATTCACCAGCCACGACGACTACTTCAACTACCAACCGAAAACTAATATCTACGATGAGCCCCACCTTAAACGACAACGTGTTCCCACCCCGCTTCTGCTTCAACCCGATGATAATACACACTTGTCGGCCGGCCCGTCAGGTTACAAATACATGCCATTGTCCTTGCGCACTCCGGACCTCGAGTCCTTCCGCTACGACCACGGTATAGAATACAGGATGCACCTCTCAATCAAAGAGACGGTCTTGAAAGCCCAGTGGCACCAGATCTTCGATGAAGATGCCTTTCTATCCAGAACAAAGCGAAGGTGCATACAATCTCTTAGAAAATTGAAAAACATTGTTCGTAGTAAGTTTGCCCGGGGGAAAGAATTTTGGAATGCATTTCGCTCCCGGTTCAAAAGGGAGTTCAAAGTCTCGCCGGTTGAGCATTGTGAAGTCTGAGTTCAATGATTATTTGTGCTTCTTTCTTTCTTTCTTTTCTTTTACGTAACGCGTATGCTAAGACTGCAATGTGACGCCTCGTATTAGCACAGTAGATGCTTTGCTACGGCCTTCCTTAGACTGTAATTCACTTTGTATATTTCGTTTTGATCACTCAGCATTCAGAGGTGAAGATATTTATTATAGTGAGCAATTATAGAGCTGGAGTATGTTTCGTAAGCAGATGCAGCCGTTGGACAGATTAGTGATAGCAGAGATGCATATGGTAATGAACGGGTGTAGGGAGAGTATCAACCACGAGTTCTACTGTGGTAGACGGGAGCCTAGTTGTTCGTTCGTTTGGTAGTCTACTAGATGCTAGGGGTAAAGAGAAAGAGGAGAGTTAATACTAGGTCTTGAAGACTTCATGAATTGCCTAGCTAGCCTCTAGCCAGGGAACTCTTCCTTATGTCTCTATCTGGGTCGGTCCATAGCATCAGCACAAGGGTTGCAAGCAACCCTGTGCACCGGCACAGTAATGGTGAAAGCGACGATGCCGCCGAGCAAGGAAGATGAGTTGTTGGTATGTAACATAACCTACTAAATGCGGGCTTTATACCGTCGGCGGGCTTGGCAATCCGATTTCCGACTTCACCGGTTGATTGAGGGGCTGGTTCAGTATTCGCCATGCGACACAAGATTCGAAGATCGTTGTGTGGAGGCCTTACCTGCTGTCAGCTCGGTCGGGAGGGATAGGTCCATGCCTTACTATCCACACATTTCCGGGCCAATGTAATAGAGCTTCGATCCTGTTCCATTCGGAGATATGCATGGTTCAGTAATTACCAAGAAACAGAAGCCATAATGGCGAGGACCGAACTGACGAGGTAAGCATACAGTATCCATCTTCGGATACGCCGGGGACTTGTGCAAGAGCTGTTTCGTTTATGCTTCGAACAAAATCCTCGGCCGAATATCAAGGCTTGTACAGCATACTCCAGACTTTTGAATGCGATTACTACAAAATATCACTATGTTCCCCAAAGAAAAACATCAGCTCTCCCTTCCTTTGTCTCCAAAAACCTAACAGTTTGCCTACCAACGCCAAAAAATGACTGAGAAACAAGCACGCCGAATACTGATCGTGGGGGCTGGCTCCTTGGGACTAGTCTTTGGGTACTTTTTACTCAAGCAAATGTCGACGTGACATTCCTGATCAGACCCCACGGAGCCGAAAATCTCAGTCGACCACAGCTACTCTACTCTCTCAATGATAATCAACTGAAGAAGTTCTACAAATACAAATTTATTACAAACCCACAGGATTTGTTGACTGGAACGACCTACGATTTCATCATGATCACACTTGACGGTCACACCTTGAGGACCGAGACTGGATTGGAATTGGTAGACACTATAGCAAAGGCGGCCAAAGGGACTACCACCAAGGTTATACCACTCACTGGACTCATTGGCGTGAGGTCGTGGTTATTGAACCGTACAGGTCTCAGAGAGGACCAAGTGGCTGCGGCTGTCCCACTTATTCATGCCTACGCACCCAAGAAGGCCGCACTGCCAATAAATGACGGTGTTGATCCAAAGCTACTACAACAAGCTGATCAAGCATACATCGATAAAGCCGGCCCTGGGTTGACGATTGACAACAGTACTCCTGCACTGGCTGAGGAATTTTCCCAACTATGGAATGCCAGCGGGATTTCACAGTGTGCCATTGCTCCCCCTGCACAGATCGACGCCATGGTGGCCCCTTTCTCTGTTATTACAGCTCTTTCTGATCTCTTGGACTGGCCGACCTACGATGACATCGATATTCAGGGAGACGTTTGGACCTTAGGAATTCAGGCAATCAAGGAGATACTTGGGCTCAGTGTATTTGGACAGGTTGGCAAACAGGCCATTGCCACAACTACTGCTGCGAGTGTTAGAGATCAGCTTTCGGGACTACAGAAGGCAATGTATCCACTCGACTGGTTGGCATTCAATAAATACCACCACAGCGGCAAGGTCAACGCTCAAAATCGGGACGTACTACGGAACTTCATTTCTCAGGGCGAGGCAGAGAACAAAGAGATGCACTCAACTAAGGAGTTGCTGAAAAAGGTGGAGGGACGCAAACGTTGAATTGGGATTTTTACGCTACTAGATAGTCACATGATACTATTCTTTCCTCTTTCATGATCCCAACATGCTATCAATCAATAGAAACAATTACGCCAGAGTCTCGGGCACAAGAACCACTCTACTTTTTACTTTCCCGTGATGTAAATCCTCTAAAGCTTGAGGAAGTTCATGCAGGCCTCTAGTTACGACCTGCGGTTTAACAATCCCCTTTGCGACAAGGTCTAAAGCGGCCTCGAGACTTGCGTATGATCCCCCGAAGGTGAAAAGAACGTTGATTGCTTTTAGTATCGCAGGACGTGAATCAAACGAAATATCAGGGTTTATAAGACCAACCACCACCACAGTTCCCCCTATCCTTACTGTAGTATTGATGTCAGCCACGATATATTACAACGACACAGTGTCCAAATCATAGGGCTTAGAAAAACTTACCAAGTTCAATAGCCGCTTTAAAGGTGTCTGAAGTACCAACAAAGTCCACGGTTTTGTCGATAACCAGCTGGTTCTTCGCGACAAATTCAGCCGCACTAGTTCCTGACGGAACTACATCTTCGGCCTTGACGCCAAACTTAACCGCCTCATCGAGCACTTCTTGTCGAGTATCCGCCACAATGACCCTTGCACCAATACCGAGTACAATCTGTAGCGCATTGAATCCGAGCCCACCAAGTCCGATTAGCAACACAGTATCTGATTTCGTAATCTTGGCTCTTTCAACAGTGGCGCTGTATGCAGTCATTACAGCGTCAGGTACAACAGCCCCGAGTGCGGGACTCAGCCCGGCAGGTAGTTTAACTGCGGCTCGTTCTCTAATAGCAACATATGGAGCAAATGAGCCATCATATCCGATCCCATAGCGTTCGCCAATCTGGCAAAGCGGTTCAAGACCTCGGCTGCATTCCGGGCAGGTGTCCTTCCCACATCCTGGGATCGCCAAGATGGCGACTATATCACCTGGTACGAATTTGCTGGCGGTGGAACCAACGGAGACGACTTCGCCACAACCTTCATGGCCCTGGGCATAGGAGAGTCAGTGGGGTTGGTCCAGGCTTTGTTGGTAGGACACTGAACCTTAGTAAAAGAAAAATGAGTAAGCACCTACCAGGGTATACTTATCCGAGAAATTGGGTGGTTGTGGCTCCATCTCTAACAGAGAGATATCACTATGGCATACTAGTTTGCTACTCAGTTTCAAATTTTTGATGTGGAATAGTATATAGTAGGTGAAACAACAGAAATAGAATCTTACCTCCAACTGCAAGTATCTTCACTAGTAACCCATCCTCAGGCGCTTGAGGAACATCGACTTCAACGCGAGTCCGGATCGCTGTTAGCTTTACTTCATATGTTGAACGGAGATGACAACATATCTCCAAGACTGTACGTACTGGTACGGAACTCCCAAAATGCTTCTGCCATGCTAGCATCGTCTTGGGAATGGTATTAGTTGCCATTGCATCTGCCTTAATTTATAGTGGATAGTTTCGAATTAGACCAGCTTCTTAAGTTATTTGATGGTATTTTGTTTATCATTTTTGAAGGTAATGCTAATTTATAGAGACTCATTATGTCGGCTACCTTACAACGTCGGCTAGCGTACCATGTGGGGTAGTTTATTATATGGAGTATTTTACTGCGCGGGGTACCTTTTTGAGTGGGGTAGCTTACTGTGCGGGGAGGAGATTGGTGCGCAGAATTTCGTGCGTGGGAAATGAGGTTATACACAAAGGTCTCTTTACTCTTAGCCATCTAAACAATACAGAAAATTTTGTTTTGAACAGTTGTGGATGGTGTTGAGCGACGAGTCTTGAGTGGAAACGAGCTAGTCTCAATTTCAACTTCACAATGTCAACGGCAGTAGGGTAGGAGAGTAATTAAAAAACTCTTGGGTCCAATACCTCTTCTGTTGTACATGAAGCTGTACTCTCATACTTGAATTTTGGCGGCGATAGTTTTGCCAAGGGCTAACTGTAACTCTATGCAGTAGCGTAGTGCTAAAATATCATATTTTGGTTTTCTAGATTTTTGTACATATTGGGGGTAGTATAAGAGAACTCACGTGACCTTATCGATAGCGATACTTATCCCAAAGCTCAGCACAACCAGTGGGATAGAAAACCATATCCTTATACTGCCACAACACAGGACACCACACCACTTACAGCATGGCCACAGCATGATCAATCTCATAACTAATAACGCAGATAGTTGTACAAGCGTTGACGAAAATGTTCAAGTAACACTAAACACAATAGCAGAAGCAGCCGCCTGCTTATACTATGCGGGACACAAGATATGCGTGTACCTGCAATACACTATCCTGCGACACAACGCTAAATCGTAATGCCGCGACATTATGGCGACAGAATGGCGTTTCAATGCTCAATGCGTGCAGGTCAATGGCCATGGCGGGGAAGGAGTTTGATTGTCTGAGGTCCGTTGTGGGCCCGCCGACGCTTTCCGCAGCCGCTACGGCCCTCATCGCGCTCAGCATAGCAGCTATGGGAGGATTACAAAATTTTGCGTAACCCCCACGAGAGCCGATACCGGGACGCGTGACGAAGAGCGGTGCCAAGGTGGATATGGTGCTGTCAGAAGAAAAGAAGAATGGGGGCTGGCCGCGCATGGAGAGCGAGGACGGCATGGCTACGCTCGGCTCTGGGCAAACCATGGAGAGGCCGCGATAGGACCTGTGCAGCGTGCAGTGCATCTCGCCGACTGTGGGGTAACCAGGCTTGCATACGAGAGAGGTCACGATGGTCGCTGCTGGGCGATCAAAGCAAAAGCAAGAGCAAGACGGTGCGACTGAGCGGATCGTCTGGCGAGACTGGGCATACGTAGACATGTCTGCCTCTGCCCTCAGGTTTCCAATGCCTGGCGTCAACGAGGGCAGTACCAGACGTTGAAGACGCAATCGGCACTACTCTGCGAACACCACCGCAATCGTCATTTCCAGAAGCTGCTGCTGTCTAGACAGGGCGACGCCATCATCGGGGCTGCTAGGCGTGGCCAATGGGCCAGGGCCGATACGCCTGCGTCAGTCTGGTACCCTCTGGAGCATCGTCGAGTTTCACTAGTGCGAGCCGACGCAAGCCGAGCATTGCACTCCGCCCTGTCCAAACAACACGCCCACGATGCACGGTATATATGGCATGCACTGCATCACCCAAGGTCACAAGACCTGTTGATCTACGCAATTCATCCGAGCATACTTCCCCGGACTCAGAAGCCCTGGCACCGCACTGACTCCGAGTGCTGTATACAAGGAAGCCGCCGGACCCGACCTGACCACCAACCATCACCCACTATCCACTACCCAATAACCCAATACCCATCACAATGTCCGCCATGATGCTCCGGAGACAGAACCTCCAACGCTTCCAGCGTCTTGCTCTTTCCCAAACCTCAAGGACCCTCTCACAAACACCCAGATACGTTCATCAGAGTGCACGCCAGAATGTATCTGTACCGACGTCATCGCACACATCCGATCTCCTCTCCAGTCAGCCAGAGTCCCAAGTTGCTCAGACAAAGCCAGTTCTTGGCCGTCTACCGACATCTACTGTTCTCCGTTCCTACCTCATCACCGCAATGTCCTCGCAGCCATTGCTCCTCAATGCATGCTTTGGCCTTCTGCGTCGCATGCTTGAGTCCAAATCGTACATCATGAGCATTGAGCGCAACCCCGTCCTCTCTAACCTGCTCAAGAAGACCTTTTACGCTCAATTCTGCGTCGGCGAGCACAAAGACGAGGTAGTAAGGAACACCGACTTTGCCAGGACCTTGGGCTATGGCGGTATTCTGTTTGAGTACGCACTCGAGGTACTTGGCGGAGAGGCGCCGACCGCAGCCGAGACCAAAAAGGAGATCGAGGTCTGGAGAAAGGGCATGCTCCAGAGTGTTGAGATGGCCAAGGAGGGTGACTTTGTTGGACTCAAGTACGTATTCCAAGACAAAACTCGTCCAAAACGACTGCTAACAATCTTGTAGATGGTCAGGCCTCGGTCGCCACGCTTTGCAACTCCTCCAAAACCAGCAAGATGCTACACCCGAGATGTGGGACGCCATCACAGCAGCCTGCGATGCTGCTGCGGCCAAGGGCGTCAGCCTCCTTCCTGGCGCTGAAGAAGAAGCTACCAACCGTGGCCTTGAGAAGTGGACGCTTGCTCTGCAGAAGAAGTACAACACCCCTGAGCGAGGCCATGCTGTTCTCTACATCACCTATCAATGCTATCTCCGCAACATTGCCGAGCGGTTGGCACAGCACCTCGAGATGGCCTCAAAAGGCGGATACATTGCTGGTGTCAAGCTCGTACGCGGCGCATACCTGACTTCGGAGCCCAAGCACCTCACCTTTGACACCAAGGCTGGAACCGACGCCAACTACGATGCCCTTGCCGATGCTGTCGTCCGCCAACAGTGGACCGACAAGGTCCCTGCACCAACGCCCGGCACGCCATTCCCTCAGGTGAACATTGTCCTCGCAACTCACAACCTGGCTTCCGTCAAAGCTGCCCAGAAGATCCGTGCCTCTCAGATGCTCACCACCCCTCCCGAGAAGCTGCCGCGCCTGACATATGCTCAACTTCAAGGTATGGCCGATGAGATCTCCCAGGCACTGGTTCAAGACGAGACCATGAAGGCCGACAAGCAGGCCAAGGTTGTCAAGTGCATGACCTGGGGAACTACTACCGAGTGCTTGAACTTCTTGCTCCGCAGGGCCAGTGAGAACAAGGAGGCCGCGCTCCGCACCGAGGACACCAGGCGAGCCATGGGCAAGGAGCTCTGGAGGCGCCTGAAGGGAACTTTTGGTCTCGCCTAAGTTGTTGACCTCATTTTCTTTTTTTCCGATCTTTTTCCTCTTTCTCCAAAATCATCTCTTGAAATCTTGGTTTTTACGCAGCGAAGCATAGCATTGAGCATGGCGTTTAGGGTGGGCTGAGTCCTGATGAGAGGTTGGCCTTGGATAAACTTCCACCGATTTGGTATTTCTTTTCTTGTCGCAAACTAAGACGGAGCTGGTTTTGTTGTTTTGCATAGCCCGTCGATGAACTTTCGCGTTTCCAGTTCTGGACTTTGAATCAAACATATCCATCTATGATGAGTCGTTTGCTTTGTGCATTGGCCACGTGAAGAGATACTGTTTCCAGTCCGTCCATGGCCAGCTACTGCGATTGACGCGATCAGTCTCCCTGGAATATTATTACAGTTACTAAGGTATGCAACTTATGACAAAGATAGGCAAAGCCAAAGATGTGGTACGGCGATAGTGACAAGTACGTCGCAACTACTGCTGTCTCAAAAAGGCAACAATGAATTACCAACCCCCATCAAACCTACATGCTCGTACGATGCATGCGGGGTTGAATCTCGACCACGTACTTTTGCTCATATCTATCAACAGGGATGGGATTACTCCATGTAATTAATGCTAGGTGCTGCTGAAAAAAAACCGTTAGCACAAGCCTTGGCAAAGCGAGGTTTCATACGTGAGCTGATTTCCTTGCCTGCGATTACGTCAATGATAGCTGAACAACCTTAGATCAAAGCCGGCACATCTATCCGACACCTCTCGTGTCAAACACACCATTGCAGTTGTATACCAAATTTCTGTGAGATTTAGTAAGGAATAGTTGGAGTCTGCCAAACGAAATGACGCACTATAGTAGCTACTTGCCACTAGTAGCAGAATAGTAGGGTGCCAGCGCAAACATCAGACGGACCGTCCCAACACCCTGGAAACCAACGTCGTCACCGGCCGAGGATGCCTTTCACGACCGAGCGCAGTACAACGCTCGATGTGAACACGCACTGGTTGGAGCTGTCATTACATACATGTTCAACGCGCTTACACAGCGCTGTAGGTAACCATGAGGATGACACAGCCTCGCGCAGCTGAACTCGCAAGGGCTTACTGTGCCACGCCTTGGCTTTGCAGCGCATCCTACTGGCTGCATGAACAGCATTCCTGGCCTGCTGTATCCCTGTAAAGTCAGCAGCTAGGCAGACAAGTCCACCAGGCCTCGCCCGACTCGGCCGAATGCACGCCAACCATCATACACGGATGAGGGCGAGGCTCACCAGGCAAGGCGCTTGTTGCTACCAGGCTGAGTGGTATATAGGAAGCAGGATGAGCCCCAATTTGCAAGGCAGCACTTCTCTGTATTTGCAGAGGTTATAATTATTGCAATTCCATTCATATTTTCTCCATTGTTGGACATCCTGCAACAATGGCGTCCCAGTCGTCTGATTCCGTCCCAATACCACAGCCTTCACCACATCTGCTCATCGGTAATATTGGAGCCATTGATTCGGACGATGCCCCAGGCTCAGTCCAGAGACTGTCAGATATCTATGGCGAGATTTTTCAGCTTCATATCCCAGGTCGACCAGGAAGAATAATAGTCGTTTCTTCGCATGACACAATAAACGACTGCTGCGACGGAGACCGCTTCGAGAAGCCAATCAATGCCACTCTCGAAGAAGTGCGAGCCCTGACCGGAAATGGCCTTTTCACAGCCTACCCGGGAGAGAAGGTGAGTCAAGATTTCGCCTTATGAGATGCGTGCAGCTGACCACGGGTAAGGAATGGGGAGTTGCTCATCGCCTGCTGATGCCTGTTTTCGGCCCCATGGGTATCCGCAAGATGTTCGATGACATGATGGACATTACGACACAGATGCTGCTTAGATGGGACAGATTTGGACCAGATCACGAAATCTATTGCAGTGATGATTTCACAAGGTAAGTTGTTGCATCAGCTGATCGTGCTCGGGAAGGTTGCTCACCCACTGCTACCAGATTGACATTCGACATGATTGGTCTATGCGCGTTCGGATACAGGTTCAACAACTTCTACTCTGACAAGGCGCATCCGTTTGTCGAGCAAATGGTCGAGGTCCTTGTTGAGTCTGGAAGGCGGGCTACTCGCACAGGCCTTGAGAACAAGCTACGTGTTTTTGCCGAAGCCAACCGCCAGGAAAATGTGAAGCAGATGCATAAACTCTGTGATGAGATCATTGAGGAGCGCATAGCACATCCGCAGCCAGAGGCGAGAGACCTGCTGAACCCCATGCTTGAAGGTGTAGACAAAGTGACTGGAGAGAAGATGTCAAAAGAGCTTGTGCGATACAACATGGTAACCTTTTTGGTGGCTGGCCACGAAACAACGAGCGGAACTCTCGGCTTCTTGTTCTTCCATCTTCTCAAGAACCCTAGCACATATCTCAGAGCCCAGCAAGAAGTTGACGAGGTTCTTGGAGACGGCCCCCTGGACATCAAGCACATTCCAAAGCTGGTCTACATCAAGTACGCCATTTATGAAGCGCTACGTTTCCTAGGTCCTATTGGAATCAACGGCAAGCATGCACTGCAAAAAACCAAGATTGCTGTAAGCCTTTCTCTTTTTCTCAAACAGATTGTGCATACTAAAGACGAGTAGGGCAAGTATGAAGTAGAGCCAGAAGACATCATCTTGATGAACTTGCGAGGCCTACATCACGACCCCAAGGTTTGGGGCGACGACGCGGATGTATTCCGGCCTGAACGTTTCTTGAACGGCGGGTGGGAGAACCTACCGCCCAACTCGTGGAAGGCGTTTGGTGACGGCATGCGAGCTTGCATTGGACGCACTTTTGCCGAGCAAGAGATGATCATGACTGTCGCGCTCATTCTGCAAAAGTTTCAGGTCGAACTGGCAGATCCTGGCTACCAACTGCGTAAGTACACATACAGATAGCTCGACATTGTAGCATTTCTAATTTCATATCACAGACGTCTCGGTCACGATCACACAGAAGCCCAAGGATCTTAAGATAAAGGTACGGAGACGGCCTGGGCGCACAA